TCTTTTGTTCTTTCCTTCAATATGTCATGTGGGTGTTATATATATATATATATATATATATATATATTGTAATTAGGTCATTTCTGCCTACTTTAAACCATTTGCTTTTAGAAACTAATGTATTTAGTTTGTTTTGTAAACTGCATTCTTTATTGTTTAACTGGAAGTTATTAGCTTAGAGCTTAGGTCTAAAATAAATAACCATATATATACAGTCCCCTCCAAAAATATTGGAATGGCAAGGCCAATTTCTTTGTTTTTGTTGTTCACTGATGACATTTGAGTTTAAGATCAAAAGATGAATATGAGACAAGATTTCAGAATTTCAGCTTTTCTTTCTTGGTATTTACATTTAGATGTGTTAAACAACTTAGGACATCTCACCTTTTGTTTGAACCCACCCATTTTTCAAGTGTGCAAATTTATTGGAACATGATTAAAAGAGTTTATTGTTGCCTAGGTGTTGTCTTTTAGATTGATTGTTTAAACATGAAATAGTTCTGAATGACTACTCTTGCATTTAGCCTTAGGTTTCACCTGTAAAGACTGCATCTCTTGTTAAAAAGGAGAAACCAATATGAAGACGAGAGTGATCTATGGGAGAAAAGCAGGCCATTTTGAAGCTGAGAAAAAAAGGAAAATTTATCAGAGCCATTGCACAAACATTGGGCATAGCCAACAATTTGGAATGTTCTGAAAAAGAAAGAAATTACTGGTGTATGGAGCAACAGGCATAGAATAGGTTGGACAAGGAAAACAACAGCAGTTGATGACATAAACATTGTGAGAGCTGTGTGGAAAAGCATAAAAACAACAGTCATTGATATCACCAACAACCTCTACAGCGCAGGGGAGAGGAGAAATATAGAGCCTATACCAAAAGATGCAAATTACTCATCAGCAGTAAGAATCGAAAGGCCAGATTGGAATTTGCAGAGATGGGCTACAAAAGTTCTGAAAAAATTCTTGCATTTAGCCTTAGGTTTCACCTGTAAAGACTGAATTTCTTGTTAAAAAGAGGAACCAATATGAAAACATTTTATAGACTAATGAGATCAAGATTAATCTCTACCAAAATGATGGAAGGGCCACAGTGTGGAGAAAGAAAGGATCTGCTTATGGTCCAAAGCATACAAGTTCATCTGTAAAGCATGATGGAGGCAGTATCTTGGCTTGGGCTTGTATGGCTGATTCTGGAACAGGTTCATTCATATTTATTGATAATGTAACTCATGATGGTAGCATCAGAATTAATTCAGAAGTTTGCAGAAACATTTTGTCTGCTAATTTACACAGAAATATACACAAAGTAATTGGGTGGAAGCTTATCATGCAGAAGGATAATGACCCCCAATCATACTTCAAGCACAACAAAGGACTTCATCAGGGCAAAAAAGTGGACAGTTTTAGACTGGCCAAGTCAATCATTGGACCATAACCCAATAGAGCATGCATTTCATCTCCTGATGAGGAGACTGAAGGAAGACTCCCCACTCCCAACAAACAAGAACTGAAAGAGGCTGTGCTAAAAGTCTGTAAAAGCATCACAAATGAAGAATACAACAGTTTAGTGATATATATATGGGTCACAGACTTGATGCAGTTATTGCAAGCAAGGGTTATGCAACTGTTTTAGCATACCTACAGACAAAATAGGTATACCCCCATTCCCATAAATACAGTAGTGAATACTGTATGTGTTGGTCTGCAGTTGGAGATTCATTGTGGAATTCACTTGATTCACTTCTAGCAGTTGACTACTACTACTACGTACCACTGGCGGATCTTATATGTGTTGTTCTTGTCCTAAGTATTATCATTCATTACCAACCTTCATGTGATTATTCTATTCAGTAACCTTCCCTAGGTTACAACAACAACCAAATATTAAATGTTATTTACTTTAAGACTTATTTGTTCTTTGTTTGCAAAGCCAGGCCAAGAAGAATTATTTGTTCCTTTACTTTGGTCAACCAAAAATTGGGTTATCTGTTACAAAAGCTGGTATGTCCTAAGCTGTTTCAGACATCTATAAGTATATATCAGTAAATAAAAGCTGATATTCTGAACTCTTGTCTCATATTCACCTTAAACTCAAATGGCTTTGGTGAACAACAAAAACAAAGGTATTGGCCTTGCTATTCCAAGTTTTGGGGAGAAGACATATATATATATATATATATATATATATATATATAAACATTCTACACATATGCACACAGGCAGGAACATGCACACACATGATGGAAAAAGAAAAAGAACCTTGCACTAATAAGAAGTGCATAAATTTTTTTCAACACAACATAAAAGAGAAAAGAAACAGTCAACTGTTGATATCCCCTGACGCCTGGACGGGGCAATTACTGGCGGCTCCATCTACGAAATGCTAGAGTCAGCTAAGTGACAAATTTTATATTTGTATTATATATATATATATATATATATATATATATATATAGAGAGAGAGAGAGAGAGAGCAAAGCATGCATTTCATTTTATATATGTTGATTATAAATGAACATGAATGTAAAAAAAAACAACAGCTTAAGGAACAGTTGATAGAAGACACAAGAATTGATATTAGGGATCACTAGTTTGTGGTTTGCTCTATAAAATGATGGGTATTTTATGACAGTTATCTGAAGGAATAGAAATCTGATTTTGTTTTGCTTTTTGTAAAAGATTCAAAATAATCTAAGAAGAATTGCATTTATGACTTTCTTTTGCACAGTCACCTAGACTAGAATTTGAACATGCCTCATCTACTCCATTTTCCCTTCAGGATGTTCACAATCATGGCTCTCAATAATTTCCTGTCTTTTTGCTGCTCTTAATAAATTTTGTCTTTTTGTTATCTCTCCTAAAGCTTTTTCTGTTATCCATTAACTCAGGTTTGCTAGGTAGGTTATGTTTTCTTTTCTTTTCTCGCCTTCAATATGTTCTGTGAGTATCAAATTTTCAAAGCTCTTCCTCATTATGTACTCTAGAAATGTCAACTGTCTCTTCCTGATGTTTAGTATAAGTGTCCTTTTTATTTCCATTTTCTCTAAAACTTCCTCGTTGCTTACATGGTAAGGTCCATGATATTCTCAGCATCCTTCTATAGAACCACATTTCTGTTGCTTCTCTTGTACATCTGTGAGAAGATTGTTGAGTATTCACTGCCATACCAAAAAAAACAAAACAGAAGTCAAACATAGCAAGTGAACTTGGCACAGTTGTACATTGTACTGCTAGGTGTCACTATTCTGTGCCAGTCTGTCATGTAACCTGATTCCGGACTGATTATTCATTGGTGCATAAATATTTTGTTTTTATTCTAAATGATGCAAACACAAGATTACCAGAACTGAATATTTTGGCACCTGGTATTTTAGAGAAAAAAAAAAAAATTTGTAGCTTGGGGATGTTTTGGCACTTTGGTGAAATCATGACGAACAGTTCACTGGATTGCCTGTGACTCATTTTGCTAATCATTGATTGAAAGTTGTGGAATCTACTTCAAATGTTTGTTACACATGTTGCTTCCAGTTGGTTCTACCTTGTGCTACTTTGACTGACAGAGCAAGACAACCAAGTATGTGTTAATTGATTCCATGAATCACTTTTACATTTCTTCTTATTTTTTTTTAAATGTGTAAACACAATCATTTCATCCATTTTAGTGAATTTATTAAAGACATGAAGATAGCAATTACCAGTGAATATTTCCTTTCCTGTTGCCATTAAAATGTTGACAGTTTTGGGGCAAAATAGCATACAAATGCTAGTGCTGTTAATTAAAAACTTGCAGTGTCAAACTGTGGGCACTAAAATGTCTTAGATTGTAAATTCACACATTTTGAACTCTGAGCGATCTTATTGCATGCTGTAATGCTTTATTGTTAATTATTAACAGCAAAGATGGTGGTGTATCTAACAGTTATGGGAAAAAAGGAATATGGCAAGATGTGAATGACTGCAGCTAGTGTTCTTTGTAGCCTAAGCAGTAGCGCAGCTGACATTGTAAAACAGGTTTCCTGAACAAAAAGGATATGAGTCTTGTCAAAGGTTTATACTTTATTTTTGATCCTTGTTAGCTATTAATAATCATGATCTGACAATTGAAGTCTTGCAATAAGAAAACACAAAAGAAATATGATGAAAGAAACACTTGTCAAAACTAATAATTGACAATGCTTAATCTACAAGATTAAAAAAATATTACTGCTAATACTACTAGCATATATAAACAAAGTTGGTTGCATATCATGTATTCATGAAAAATAGGGAATATTGTTAGATTGAATGATTGCAGCAGTGAACACTGTTGTCTGATTAGTAAGGCAGCTGTCATAGTAAAACAACTTCTAGAGCAGGGATTCTCAACCAGGGGGTGTGATTTCAGGGTTTTAGTGGGGAGGAGAAATCTTTTACTTTGTCTTGTTTTTTACTTAAAGAATTCAAAAGAATGAGTTTAAAAATATATATATCTACTAATATGAAAAAGAATGAAGGTGCACATATTATTTGGAGTTTGGCAATCTTGGAAAGGGGGCTATGACATTCTGGCCTATAGTAAAAAGGGTGAATTGGACAATGAAGGCTGAAAGCCACTATTCTAGAGGATAATGGACACAAGTTCAAGTCTCAGGAAAAGATGATTTTTTATTTTCAATGTATAATATTTATTAATGATTGTGGACTGACAATCTGAGAGTTGCAATAAAAAAACAAGTGAAATTAAAATGAAAAAATACTAGTTATAAATTAATAATACTTGGCAGTGTTTTATCTAAGAAATTCAAATGATTTTTATTGATCTTCTGAGGATATTCCTGGCTGATATTTCCCTTTTTGTTTCTTCTTTTCTAAACCATGTTCTAAAGATCAACTAAAACCTTCCATAAATAATTCGCTAAGAAGTTGGTATGAGTCAAAAATGGAATTGCTGATGGACTCTCCTGTCATCTTGTGAATTAACCTTTCCCATTTTTATCCTTTGCTTAAAATGCATCACTATGTCTCTCTTTCTCTCTCACACATTCTATCTCTTTCTCTCTTTTCATTTCTCTCACTTACTCTGTTTCTCTTACCCTGTCTTTCAGTGTATTTCTATCAGTTTCTTGCTGTCTTTTTTGTTCTCTCTTTCTCTTTATCTCTCTGTTTATTAGACTCTTTCTGTTTCTCACTCTCTCACTCTGTCAATCTATCAGTTTCTTTCTCTTCTTCTTCCTTCCAGTGTATTACACTTATTTTATCATTCTGTTTATGACTTTCTCCCTGTTTGTAAGTCTGCCTGTTTCTGCCTATCAGTCTCTGTTTGTCTTTCACTTTCTTACACACACACACACACACACACACAGAGTATTTCTCAATCTGTATCTGTCTCTCTTAATCTCTCTTTTACTCTATCTATTAGCCTCTTGTTTGTTCTCCCTCTTTCTTTGTCTTTCTTTTTTAGTCTTCCTGTTTACCTTTCTCTTTTTCTAGCAGTCTCTTTCACACATAAAACACATACTCTCTCTCTCACTCTTTCTCTCTGTCAACCTATCTCTATTTCAGTTTTTCTTATTCCTCCCTTCTCTCTCATTCATTCTATATCTGTCTCTCTTACTCTCTGTTAGCCTCTCTTTGTCTACCTTGCTATTTCTCTATCTTTCTCAGTTTGTCTGTCTCTTTGTCAGTCTCTCTCTCTCAATCCCTCTGTCTCTGTCACTCTCTTTCACACATAAAACACACTCTCTCACAATTTCTCTCTGTCAATCTATCTCTGTCTCTATTTCAGTTTCTCTTATTCCTGCTCTCTCTCTCTCTCTCATTCATTTTATATCTGTCTCTTTTACTTTCTCTTTCAGTTTATCTTTATTAGCCTCTCTTTGTCTATATTGCTCTCTGTGTCTCTCTTTCTTTTTCAGTCTTTCTCTCTTTCTCTTTCTCTGTCAGTCTCTTTCACACAGTCTCTTTCTATCTCTGTCTCTTACTCCACCTCTCTCTCATTCTATATCCACCTCTCTTGCTCACCTTTTCAACCTGTCTTTTTCTTCCTCTGTCTGTCTACCTGTCTGTCTTCCTGTCTCTCTTGACAAAGAATCTTAATCATTCTCTAGACTCAAATCCCTCACCTCCTAAAACAATAAAAGCTCTAGCAATGGATGGAAGCAGACTAACTTAAGAAAAAAAATGTCTTCATATGAAGATGTTAAATAGGAATTAAGTGTGTTTAACTTTAAAAAAATATTAAGATTAAGAAAAGTCTGAGCCAATTTGTTTTTGTTTTTTTATTTGAAGAAAGAAAACATTTTCAGTAATGAAATCAGTTATTTTATTCTTTTTTCCACGTGGAATGCATATCTATGAATAACAAGTTGTCTGGCTGAAATAGTTCTTATATATATTTATGTTGATGTATGTGTGTATATATGTATGTACGTCTATATGTATGTGTCTATATGTAAGTATGTATGTGTCTATATGTAAGTATGTATGTATGTGTGGGTGTGTGTGCATATACGTATGTATGTGCATGTCTATATACGTATACATATGTATGTATATATGAATATGTATATATAGTCTTGTTTCATTAAAAATAACACACAAGTATTTCTTTTTCAGTTACTTGTTTGTGTAAAAGCAAGCATGTGACTATGTCTAAAGAATATTGCTATTATCAGGATGTTTATGATTAAGTACTTCAACCCACACTTCTGGTCATTTTTAAGACCCACACTTCTGGTCATTTTTAAGACCCACACTTCTGGTCATTTTTAAGACCCACACTTATGTGTTGTCTTTCCCATAGGCCAAAATACTTTTAAAGCTCATCATTAGCTGTTATACTTTATGATGATATCCTGGATAGGTGACTGGCAAGTAGGATTCTTCATTCGCAAAATGTATTGTCAGTTATTTACATTAATTACATTTGGACTATTGTCCTCATCCTTGTTATTATCATCACAACATTTTGACTGTTGTGCCCTTCTTCAATGTGTCCGTCGATCCCAGTAATCTTTAAGGACTTTTGAACTGAGCCTTTTATTTAATCTATGGAAATCTATATCTTGTCTTATTCTTATTTAGTACTACTCAATTCTAGCTTGCCCTGTTTCCAAAAAGTCTGTACTACCCAGCCCAGGGATTGAACTCACAATTATTATGCCACCCAATTCATGAACCAATGCTATAATCCACTCAATTGTTGTCCTATGGAACAAGAGGAGATATTCTTAGACATGGGCAGTGGAATGAGAACAATCTACTATGTAGATTAAATAAAGGGTTTAGTTTGAAATTCCCTGATGGTTGCACAGATTGGCAAGCACCTTAAGAAGGCTGGAGGGCACAACAATCAACATGTTTTGATAATAACAACAAAGATGAGACTGTTATTCTGAATCTAAATAATTATAACTCTGCATCCCAAATAGAAAGTATTTTCACTTGTTGAATACATTTAAAACTGCATTTTTAACATTTAGGGAAATTGTTCACTTTGGATTTTATATCAGTACCTCCACAAAAATGCTAAAAAATCAGCTTACCATGAGGAAAACATGCTCCAAACATAATGAAAACAGTTTTATTGTCAAAATTATTATATTATCATTATGAGGAAGGATCAAAGTATTTTTTGATTATTTAATTCAATTTTTTACTCCCTTTTAAAACATTAGAAATTTTGATTAAATAACTTGTTTTTCTTGCATCAGCAGTTGTACTAACTTTTAGCACAGCAAATTTTGGCCTCTTTTTTGCGTTGACAGACACATAAATAATTAATGGATTTTAATGAAATTTTCAGGACTTATTCACATATGAAAGAAATTATTTTTGATTTTTTTTATTAGAAAATCTTGGTAAAAATATATATTTCTTTTTACATGTGTTTCAATCTCTTATTTTATGAAAACTTGAGAAATTTAACAAGATGATCTTTAGTAACTATATTAGTTAAAAGAATTCTTTGAAGAATTTAAATCAACAAATTTTTTGCAAAATTGGTCCGGGTCTTACCAAAAATCTGTTCTGAATCGAAAAATAAAAAAATGCAATAAAACTAAGACATTATTTAATTAGAGAAGCTTTTAATTGCTTTTATGAATAATATATATTAAGGACAATATTCTTTGAAGAAAAAAATTTTTCAACAAAAAATGGATTTTTACAAGATTTGCTTTCATTTTTTTTTTTTTTTTTTTTTTTACAATTGAATAATTTGGGAAGATTTTAAATCTTTTAAAAATTCATTTTCAATGAGATAATTCTTAGGAAATTTCATTATTAAGTAAAACTATATTTACTAGTCAGATATTATAAAGCTTATTAGAATCTGACGACCCCAAATATTTTTAAAAGAATTTCAATTTGGATGTACAAACTGATAAATCTAGCATTTGAAGGTCAAATCTTTTAAGGGTTGTCCACCTTTACAGCGAAAAAGAACTTAATCGTCTGCTTCACCATACAGTAAACACTTTCAGCTTTCAGTTGGATGTAAATAAATGGATTAATACATTAGTAAAAAGACCATGTAGTTAAGAAATGTTTGTATATAACATTTTATGCTATAAGTAATATTTATTTCAAATCAGATTAATTTAACTTGAAATTTGCTAATTTTTCTCAAATAATGTTTCAGAAATATATATTTTATTTTTGCAAGATTTTTAGAACTGAGAAACTTTTGTTTACAAATGTGTCAAAAATGGTCATTTTGATTGATTTTAATGAAAAAAAAAATCTATTCAACATAATATAATTTCTATTTGAAATACTCTAGAGTATTTTGCTTACTGGAAATAGTAAAATTAAAATCCTTTAGCTTTCAAGTAAAGCTTCAAGAAAGCTTTTTCATTTTTAAAAATTCATTTTAAACCTTACGTATACCTAATTAGTGGTGGTACATAATTTTATAATTATCTTAGACTGAAGCTAGAGAGCCCAGTCTACCCTGTTATTTAATCCACCGATGGGAGAAGGAGAGTGAATGAAACAGACTCTAAGAGAATTTGAACTCAAATCATTGATTCTTATTGTGAATGTGGATGGTTTGCTACAGTGTGAGTGGCATGGTGGTTCTGGCCCTCTGTCTTTTCTACAAATATTTTCATAGCTACTGTTCTGATGAGCTTTTTACCCTGGTGCATTGACTACATGTATTTAAGCATGCTACTAGATTGGCAATTAGGTCTCACTATTTTATTGTTCAACTAGCTAGATGCAGCCATCACTTCTACTCTAACAGTTTCTTTTGTTGCACTTCTCAACTGTGGAACTCCCTTCATATTTCTTGCTTCCCTGATAACTACAATCTTCCAAAATTTAAGTGCAATGTCAATCACATCTTTACTCATTTCTCATCACTAAAGTCTTCCCATTGTTTTTCACTCTCTGTAACCTCCTGTATCTTAGTGGCATTATCACCTTGCTTGAGGTGAAACAATAAAAAAAAATGCAAGCATTACTGATAGAATGGGGCTATTATATGTTTGAGGGGAAAGTCAGAAATTATCTGCACTCTTTTCTAAAGATCTGTTATGGTAAAATTGCAGCTAATTTTTGCCTTCCCTCATAAAATATAAATACATTGTTAATGACTTTTACTTAAGAAATGCATTATTGATAAAATAAGGCTTTTATATATGGAATGTAAATACATTGTTAATGTTTTTACTCTAGGAAGACATTGAAAATCAGGAAAAAAGGCATTGTCCAGTGGTCAGAATGTAAGCATTACTGGTAGGATAGGCTTATTATGTGTATATTTTTATATATGTCTCTGCACAGAATTCAGTAGACACTAAGATTACTTTGAAATGTATTTAATTAATATGTTTGGTTATAAATTCTTCATATATGATATTTAAGATTATTTTTTAAGATAGTGAAACTGCAGAAATTGGATTACTATTATCAGAATAATTTCTCTTGGGATTTTTAAAATTGTCAAGTTGGAAAATACATATGCATACACGCACAAAGACACCATCACATACTATATAATTAAAGGAAACTGTCTGGAAAATATTTCTACTTAAATTATTTTCAGATAATTTTGAGGTTACTCACCAATTTCTGAAGAAAAAAAAATTGTAGATTTGAAATTAATTTGTATTTAAATTGAAACCCTCTTGCTTCTTTAAATAATGACCCGCATTCATACTTATAGTTGTTATTGCAATATTTTATTAAAGTTGTTAAGTTCAACTATTTTTAGCAATGTAGTAGGAGAATTCCCACAGGTATTTTATAGTTGTAGACTTTGTAAGAGGTATTAAGACAGAAAGGAAGATCAAGAAAAATAGTTTCCATAAAGTGGTAAATCAAAAAATTATAACCAAATATAAAAGCTTATTCATTAACGTTACTCAGAGCTCACTCAGTTAAAAACATTAATAGCCTTCTTATAATCTGTTTGTAATTATGGTGCTGATTCACAGGTCATCGTTTTTCTTTCTAAATTTGGTCATTGTGCAAAAATTTACATTTTATCTTAGATTGAGCTCTGTAAAGCACAGTATAAAAATCAGTAGCTTTTCTTTTTTTTGTTCTCAATTCAATCATTAATGTAATTCTGAGTCATCAGAAAATCCAAATAGCAAAACTGAAATTTTCATGAGTACTACAAGTCTTTATCATTTGTTGCTTTTAAAAAAATACCTTCTATCCACTCAAGGTTTATCAGATATCAACAAAAAAAATCAACAAAACAATTGTGTTTTGGACTTTTCTCATGAATTAGCTGTTGGTGTGTCTTAACTTTCAAGTGTCTGTCTCAGGGTTGTGGCACCTGATGTCTTTCAGTTGTGTTCCCTGTCTTAATGTCAATTGCCTTGCACAGTAGAATGACAATTGATTTTATGGTTTCCAAAGACTTCTGTCTTTCATCACATTATGTCATGAATCTGTTCCCAGGTTTTAGATGTCTTGTTGTCCTGGTGGCATTTCTGTACCAATGAGGTTTTCCAGGGTAGAGGTGCTGACCTCATGTTCAATACTCTTTCTTACCCCTTTGGGCTTGGGATTGGCACCAGTGCAATTTTGGTACTCTTCTGACTGAAGTTATCCCTGCCTACAGATATACCTAAAATCACCAGTCATCTAAATTCTCATTTCTTTCTTCTGTTTCCAATCCTTTCTTAGCTTTTGTCAGATCGACATTTGGATGGAATAATTGTGCTGTTTGTAGTTCAAGTTTCTGTCCCCAAGAGTCCTGATGTGATGCGTGACTAAGCACATGTTGTTCAATGGATTTACCATTGATAAAAGCACATAATCTTTGAGATTGAATGCTGAGGGCACTGTTAGAAAAGGAAGAAAGAAACAGGAAGCTGAAACATCAAATGATGGATAGATCAGCAGAAAAGATTCATGGTTTGACATGAAAACTGAAAGAGGAAGATCATTCTCTTTGACACTTATTGCCTATACAAGTTGCAAGTTTGAATTGGTGCAACTCGCGAAACAGAAACTGGGGTCAAATCTCTATATTTAAACACCAGTGTCCGTTGATTTATATAGTATGAAGTATGTCACATTATTTTTTGTTCATATCTATAAGTTTCAACCAAATAAACTTTTCATATTTTGCAGACATTAACCAAAAATCTATCCAAATGGTAATGAAGAGAAAAATTAACATTAATATTTTTTTTAAATAACAGTTAAATAAAAAGTCAGATGTAAAGCAAATAGGTAATATTAGTAATGAAAGAAAAATTACCTTTTTTGTTCAAAAATGATTTGAAGCTGCTTTTTGACTCTAAAAACAGTGGAGTGAGGGTTTTCTATTAATATAAAGTAAAAAATGATTATAGATGTTTTAATCCTCTGTTAGTACTGTGGGGCATTTTCACATCATTGGTACTGTAGAGTTTTCAAATACCCTACACCAATATTAAGGTGAAATGGGTGAAGAAGGACACAACCCCGAGTAGACTGTGTTGAAAGCTTCTTTATTAAAACACTGGTAAACTTCTCGTTAGTGGGAGAGATAATGAAAAAAGACCAAGAGGAAAAAATGGAGTCTAAGAAGTCCCACTAGTGAGTT